TTAGGTCACCTGAGCTTTAGCTCAAGTGACCTATTGCTATCCGTTTTCGTCCGTCGTCGTCCGTCGTCCGTTAACATTTTACATTTCAAACTTAAAGTCAAGTTCTGCTGGGCCGATTGAACTGAAAGTTGGTAGGAATGATCGCCTCATGGTCCTGACAAAGTGTTGTTATTTTTCGGGTCGATCAGAAATCCAATATGGCCGCCACGGCCGCCATTTTGAAAACCTATTTCAAACTTAAAGTCAAGTTCTGCTGGACCGATTGAACTGAAAGTTGGTAGGAATGATCGCCTCATGGTCCTGACAAAGTGTTGTTATTTTTCGGGTCGATCAGAAATCCAATATGGCCGCCACGGCCGCCATTTTGAAAACCTATTTCAAACTTAAAGTCAAGTTCTGCTGGACCGATTGAACTGAAAGTTGGTAGGAATGATCGCCTCATGGTCCTGACAAAGTGTTGTTATTTTTCGGGTCGATCAGAAATCCAATATGGCCGCCACGGCCGCCATTTTGAAAACCTATTTCAAACTTAAAGTCAAGTTCTGCTGGACCGATTGAACTGAAAGTTGGTAGGAATGATCGCCTCATGGTCCTGACAAAGTGTTGTTATTTTTCGGGTCGATCAGAAATCCAATATGGCCGCCACGGCCGCCATTTTGAAAACCTATTTCAAACTTAAAGTCAAGTTCTGCTGGACCGATTGAACTGAAAGTTGGTAGGAATGATCGCCTCATGGTCCTGACAAAGTGTTGTTATTTTTCGGGTCAATCAGAAATACAATTTGGCTGCCATGGCCGCTATTTTGCTACTAAGTTCTAATAGGCCGATCTCACTTAAAATTGGTCTAGGAATGATCAGCTCATGGTCCTGACAAAGTTAAGTTAACATTATACTATTTTTTACTCAAATTGGTACATATTTCAACAACAAAAATAAATACTGTAGACTCAAGTGACCGTTTAGGCCCATGGGCCTCTTGTTTATTTTGATATCAAGAGGATTGTTTTAATTAAATATTATTTTCTATTTAATACAAAGTCTAATAAAAGATAATAAAACTGTTTGTTTTGACTCTTGATTATCTGTTTTAATGAAAAGACAATCGGCACTGATATATATGCGTGATCACAATTTGACAGGTCAAAGTGGATTTTTTTTTAGAAATAACCCCCTTGATCAGTGTTGGAAGTCAAGAGACAACATGGTTTTGATTTTTAACTTGGGGATATTTGTGTGCTGCAGAATTTAGTGTGCTTATTTTTATAGTAGTTGACCTTGATCTTTGACCTTCAAACCAGAAAAATAATCCTCAGGCAAGCATTTTGATTAGGTAGCTGTAAGTTAAGTTTGAGTGTTATCAACCCAATCATCTGCGTAGTATGCAGGTGCAACACAGTAGCCGGCAACGCTCGTAATAGATATTCTCATTTTGAGGCAGACCTAGCATGGAGCCAGAGACAGACACTGAGAGTAGTAAATTCAGGGAACATCTCAAAATCTTTTTCATTTCATCTGTATTAAGGATGTCCCCCTGCTTGTGACAAAACAATAGAGAATTATCTTTTTGTGTTCCTTACCTACAGTTACATCCCCTGATTATCATAACAATTGATAATCTTCTCTTGGCTGATCTCACCCTCTCACCTAAGGATTTTGCCCCCCTGCCCCCGATATCCAGGGGTTATGCTCACTTTTGCTCTCTACGCTCTCTACAGGTGTAGAGAGCAAAAGAGAGCGTAACCCCTGGATATCGAGGATAGTTACTGTTGCAAAGGAACATACGAAAAATGCAAAGGAACAGAGAGATGAAAATGTGTGGAACAAGTCCCTTTAGCTTAATGCTATTATTAAAAGACACAGTGTTAGCGTTACACATTTCGTTTGTAAAATAGAAATATTGTGTCATCAGAAGTTTGTGGATGGTCAATTTAATCTGCAAATGTATAAATGTGATCCCTGTCATTCTGGTAAAATACCACCTTCTTCCTACTGACTTTTTTTGGCTCTGGGAATTTCTTTTAACTCATTCAGGTCCCGGGTGAGATCCTCAGTGGAGACATTGAAATATCAATTACCACGGTTACATACTTACCGCTGTGAGACACGAAAAAATACTATAACGACTGTGGTCACCGGTCACATAATATTGTATAATGTGTCTCCATATGATATTACCTGTTCGCTTACCTGTAGTCACGTACCTGTGCGTGTACACACTCCGACATACCCTATACGCTACGTTCCATATAAAATTATTTTTGGAATGACCCCTGTATTTGCTTGTCTAGGTTTCTGTCTCCTTGCTCCGTGCTAGGTCTACCCCAAAATGAGAAAGGTATATTAGTTGGTAATAGCCATGTCTATTCATAAATGTTAATCATCTGTCTTAATATTACGAGTACATGTACAGTAGGTAACAACATCTCATTTATGTACAGTAATATAAACTCGTAACTTCTGCGTTGTGGCTACATCTTCCAGCTAAGTAACATAAGTGTTGTGTCTCAATACCTGTATCAAAACCATATCTCTGGCTTCTATGACATGGGTGCTCTGCTAGAGTTAACAGGATAACCATCCTTAATGGTCTCCAGAACCCAACTATCCGTTGAGCAAACCTTTGTTTTATACTAAATCAAAAGTCAAAAACGTCACTATAGCCCCAAGCTCTTAAACAATACTTGGAAGGAACTTGTGGTACAAGTATGCACGGTGCTCTCATCAATAATCTGCCATAGCTTGGTTTTATAGGGTTTAAAGTCCTATCAACAGTTAAGGTCATTTAAGTACGTGCCTCCATGTGTGCCGGAGACAGATTCTGTCCTAACTAAACCTTTGCATGTGTATGCGACATTTATCGGTATGGTTTGGCTATTTTACCTGGGTTAGTGGACATATATTTCCCTGAGGCCGGTCCTAGCCAGTCCTGGTAGCATACATGTATTCAGACAAGACAAAATAAGAAGGCCAAATCACCATTTTGGCCACTCCAATCGGTCCCCAGTGGTCTGCTGCTAATTTATATTATTTGCATTCCAAACCTCTTGAGAATGTAATTGTTCAACCAATTATGGATGACCTTAATCTCATAGCTCCAGAGAAGTCGTTTTAAAGCAAGGTGATTTTGACCCTCCATTTGTACAAATTTGAATCCCCTATGAATATATCCAGTTAAATTTTGTGAAATGCCAATCAGCAGTTCAAAAGAAATTGATGTCACTGTTGACTGACAGATGGACGACATAGGCTCACCTTGGTCCTTTGGACAAGGTGAGCTAACAAACTGAAAACCGAGGGAAAATGTTGTAATGTCAGAGTCTCTATAGGTACTCTTGTATGACTGGGCCCCAATAGTGTAGCCATACATTTAATTCATTATACAACTGTTCTCTAGGTCATGGTATCCTTTCACCTAAATTTGGTAATCCCTTCATTGATAAACAAAGGAGTAGGCATTGAAAAATATTTGTCTCTATGGCCCAAGGATGCTACAGACTATATTAGGGTTTAAATTATAATTCTCAAGATAATGGATGTTTCCGTTTTCAACAATATGACTAAGGTGACCTTGGAAATAAGTCCATTTAAATTAACAATTCATCCCAGGTACCTATTGGCCATATATCATGACCCTAGGACTTTCAGTATTTGAGAAGCAGTTCCAAGAACAATGTTGACAGACCGACACTGGATGCTGTATCTTACTATTAAGCTCGAAGGCAATTTATGAATTAAGATTATGATTAGAAAAGACATCTTAAGTTGTTTAAGCCAAATGTTTCCTGCAGTTAATTTTTCCCTCAATAATGAGTGTGAATTCATTATAACAGCACTGGTATATCTACTGCCAGGGGGAAATTAACACTGGGCAAATACGGATTATCAGTAACATGGGAGAAAAAATTCCTATATACAATAATTAGATGCTTTGAAAGCATATCTTCCATTTATAATTATTCAATTCCCTTTGCTCAAAGATTCTCTAGAACAAGTTTGGTTAAAATCCCTTCAACGGTACAGAAGGAGAAGGATCTTATAATTTTTTCCTCTATTTCCCCCACTCATCTGCCCGAAAGTACAAAATTGATTCTTTTGTCCCTAAGCATGCTTCAGACTGCATTGGTTTAAATCCATTCACTTGTGTAATAGTAGAAAAAAAATTCCTCTATTTCCCCTATTGGGCCCGTCGCTCTGCCCCCAGAGGGGCCACACCCTCCGTTTATACAAACTTGAGGCTCCTTTGTCCAAAGATGCTCTAGAACAAATTTGGTCAAAATCCTTCTATTGGTTGATTAGAAGATTTTTAAAGATTTACCTATTTCCCCCTATTTTGCCCCGCCCCTCTGCCCCCAGGGGGGACCATACCCTCCGTTTATACAAAACTGAGAACCCTTTGGCCAATGATGCTCCAGACTAAATTTGGTCAAAATCCCTTCATCGGTACAAAAGGAGAAGGATCTTTGATGTTTTCCTCTATTTCCCCTAATGGGCCCCACCCATCTGCCCTTAGTACAAAATTGATTCTTTTGTCCCTAATCATGCTTCAGACTGCATTTGGTTTAAATCCCTTCACTTGTATAGTAGGAGAAAAATTTCCCCTATTAGGCCTGCCCCCAGAGAGACCACTCTCCGTTTATACAAGCTTGAGTCTCTTTTGTCCAAAGATGCAGTAGGACAAATTTGGTCAAAATCCTTCTATTGGTTGAGAAGAAGAAGATTTTTTAAAGATTTACCTATTTTCCCCCTATTTGGCCACACCCCTATGCCTCCAGGGGGACCATACCCTCCGTTTATACAAAACTGAGAACCCTTTGGCAAATGATGCTCCAGACCAAATTTGGTCAAAATTCTCTGAGCCGTTCAGGACTAGTAGCTTTTTAAAGGAAAAAGTTGACGGACGACAGACGCCGGACCATGGGATAAGTTCGGGCCAGGTGAGCTTACAAACTTAACCTTCAAGACATTGTCTTTCAGCAAGAATAAAGAAGTTAACACTCGAATAGATGGTACATTTATTGTGTCCCATTCATGTGCACTTACATAATATTACAGTCCTATAATAGTCCCATTACAGTCCTATTAGTCCTATTGTACACATACTCGCATAACCTACCTGTTCCCTGGACCATTACACTATACACCACACAAACATCTGTAATGCTCCATGTATAAAGCCATCTTAGTCCGAGTCACACATGACACAAGACAATACCAGACCAGACATGTCACGTGTAATCATTACTAACACCATCATTAAGTATTTTCAACAATTGAATGTGAAAGATAAAACGTCTCCACATCATTTTCATTGCAAAATCTTTCAATCAGTATTAAGAAACTTCTTCTGCAAAACCTTGTGTAGATGTCAAAATTCTCCCCCTACACCTACCCTAAACAAAATCTGGTGTATAATATTTTAAGATTAAATCTTTGAAGCACTTTGGTTCGATATAGTTGATGTCTGTGATATTTTCTTAACTATAACAAGGTTCTGCTGTACAATAGTTTTTGTCACTTGGTCCTCACATCCTGTTACAAACTTTATATACACAAGTGTTCTCACAATTACAACACCTTTACGCCTGAATTAATGCTAATCTTGATTCAATACAATTTTAATATTATTTCTAAAAACAGTTTAAAACAATAATAACATTTAACTTTTAAGATGATTGTTAATACATGAACATGTATTTAAATGACATTTTAATGTAAATATCAGTTCATTTATTCTACTATATCAACATTTTGGGCAATTACTGCTTTGAAATTGGTAAAATTGGTTGTCCGAACTTTTTCTGTTGAATTGTAATATTTTCCCTCGGAGGTCAAAGCCTTCAGTTAAGTGTATTCATATTATCATGGTAGTCACATTTTTTTATTGGAAATCTTTAACTGTGTTCTTCATAAACAAAGATTCAGGATGTCATTTCAGAGATGTAAACAAGTATTGTCACCTTTACAAGTCAATAAAAACTTATTTAAATCTATTTAAACTACTTAATGAATAACATGATCAGTTGCAAATTGTCTCATCTTTAATGTACAACTAGAACACATGTGAGTCTTGTCTAGTCTGTCAGCATTGACCCGATTGTCAGGCGTCCTTCAAAGCCTATAATATATTCTATTTACATTAATATACTTCGCTAAAAAAACAATGCTTGAAGGTAATACCTTTCATAAAACATCTTTGTGTTATGGATTTCATTTACTAGTACTACTGAATATCACATTCTATTTCTTAAAATAATTACTTATAAAAAGTTAATTTCTCGAATTCTGTATAAAAGATCAGTGCTTAGAGAATAGACAACACCTCCCGTGCAAGTTATCAACATTGGTACTGTAACCGGTGCCAATAGATCACCAACTTAATAAGCCTCATATATCCCACTTCTTTTAGATATCTCTGTAATAATCAGAAACAGAAAATGGGAAAATAAACTGTTCACATTCACTGACTGTTATTTTTGTGAAAGTTAATACCTTACTCCTAAAACTATCAAACACCTGCTTCTTAGCACATTTAGTTAATACAGAAAAATATCATCGTTACATGTTTTCACTTGAAAATACTTTATAATTCTGTTAGTTTTTTGTTGTCTTAATGTGATATGGCACTCAATTTTATATCAGGCAAGGTGTAACGTATTAACTGTTATTTAAGAAATTTGGAAACCTGATGAAATAACGAACAGCTTACTGGTAGGCAGGTATAATTGTACCATTAAAAACTAAACTGATTAACATCCTACATCAAAACCATAAAAGAATTTTTTTCCTTACCCTCTTTTTCTCGGAAATGATGTCATGGAATGTTTTTGAATTGATGGGAACATTCCAAGAAAAGCTGACAGGATGCTAACATTTTCACCCAGGCTACGAGTCTGAACACACCTTTACTGATGGATGAAAATGTAAACTAAAGGTATGAACACATTATGAATGGTTTAGATGATACAGATTCAGGATCATACACTAGCTCACTCGTACACTCACACACATTATGAATCACAAATCCTGTCTAAATTATACACACAATGTAGCTATGAATAAAATCAAAATGTAGATTAAAACCAATGTAGGGTGATGAGGTCGTTACATTAAATGATACCCCAATCCAATAGAAGACATCTTTTTTCATGGACACCACCGACAGAAGTTAATTAAATTTATAATGCAGCCTTCCTTTCAATATCCACTTTCCACAAAATTTAATAATTTGCCTTCCACGAATGGGTATATTGAAACAGTGCAGAGTTGTGAATGAGATGATACTGACAACATTAGCAGATAGCCACCCTTCAGAGTAGCTCCCCAATAACTGCTGTCACCCGGGATAAACAGTGTATCTATACAGTACCATAAAACCTTGTTATACTGCCCCCTTTGTCTAGCCAAATTTTGGCAATATAAAGAGGTTTGGCTAAACCAACCTAAAGGAGACTCTCGTTAAGAAGACGTTTAAGGAGATTTCTTATAAAGAAAGGAAAAGGGAGTCTAGAAATATGGTGGCGGTAAGCAAGATGGAAAATGAAACAAGGGGCATCATATCAAGGTTTTACTGTACTGTAAATAATATAACCATGTCTTCCTAGATCACTGCTATATTAATCTGACATACTTTTAATGTTGGGGAATACGAACCTATCTATAACAACTTGACAGATTTCTGAATTGCCATATTTCTATAACTGGAGTAGCAATGTTCCATTATCCATCAACCTACAACAGGACCCGTGGCAGTCGACCGATCAGTCTTAACACACTGTATCCGTGTCAAAATATTAACTAAATCTTCTAAAAACAATGTAAAACAACGATGTTCATCACCACTAAATGCACTGTCAATTGAATTGTTTAACGACCAACCAGTCACAACAATGTATTACAAGACTTTTGTACCTTCAAACAATCATCTCGGTTGTTGATGAATGAGTCAAGAAACATAACATAACAATTAAATCTCTCTCCGTGGACACGAGTCAGTAAAATGTCCGAGTGAGTCGACAACACTATGTCACGCCTTTGAATTGTCTGTGAAATCTACAGCTGGCCAATTAGAACAACAATATCATTGTCACTGTAACCCAGTCCTTGGGCAAAGAGTTCACTTGGTGGATCTTCGGGAGGGTTCTGAGGCTGTGGGGGGAGGGGGCACACCCTTCCTGTCCAGATCATCAATGTAGGACATGAGGATTTTGCTACGCTCATCCTCCACACAATCCAGGATCAGGTAGCGCTTGTCATTCTGGAGACACAAGAGAATTTTTGTTACATCTCAGGCACAGACTTGTAAATGGGAGACACAAAGACATTTGGCATTGAGGAAGTGGTTATGGACACCACAATAAATTTGCGAAAATATTGTGTCAAGCCCAGAGCATCTAGTCTTTGCAAACATGGTCAAATGTACCCCAGGCTTATATTTGTAATTTGACCTTATATATAGAAAGTTTTACCATAATTAAATCTCTAAATGTAAAACTGTTTAACCAAATGCAGTACACTTCATACACCCTATTGTACGGAGAATGGACTTGATGTCTGTAAAATAAAACTTATTTCTACTGGTAAGTAGATGTAGAGTTGACACTGATGGTTGGCCTGAGCAGGGTTTATCCTTAGTCTAGCTATCAACTCTATGACGAATCGACAGGGGAAGTATTACTACAGACAAAACCTGTTGTTACCTGTAGTATAGTGATGATGTCCTTCATGTGTGAATCCGTTTCCTCCAACAGCTTCTTAGACCTGTCAGGATCAGAACATGTTATTTGTTAATGTTTTTTACAGACGTTATGGCTATTCCACCATCATAATAGGTGTGTGGCGGGGAACACCAGTTTACCTAGTTTTGCAAAACAATTTTTATTGGACCATCACACAAGACATATTCTTCAACATTATATGTAGGTTTTTTTTTTAGTTCAAAGTATCATGTCCTCAATTAAATAACCACAGATGTTGTTATAATTTTTTTCAAAACAAAACTTTCCATCAACACATGCTGTGGGTTCATGATCAGTAATTATCATTTCTGATTTCAAATTTAATCTAGACATTCAACTACCTGTATCAATACAAATTCACAACTTGTAGACAGTCTTCGGTGTTGTAACTTGCTTCTTTTTCAAATTTGAAATGGTATGAAATTTATATTTTTGTTCTTTTGCCCTTCAAATATTTAGGTTTTGGCAAATAGTTCATCCTAGTTTGGAATGCAGTGAAACTAAACCTGGTGAAATATTACTTCTATAATGGCACAACCCTGCACTCTTACCTGTAAGTTATCAGTTTGGACTCCTTCAACAATTCACGGAAGTCAGCCTTAGCTTGTACGTATTTCTCATGTAGATAGTCGTTGAATTCTTTTTCACGTTTCTGTTAATATGAACATGTAAATAAATCATTATTTGCAGGATAAGCTAGCAGCAAGATCTTTGTACATTACCTCATTTGTCTGAGATTAAACCTCATCCACAGATGAGAATTGTGTAAAACAATCTATGTCGTGGAAAAGAGCTATAATACAATAGTTACGTACAATTTCAAGCTTAAATGGCTTTACCCTGCCACATTATGAAAACTTTATGTATTTCATTTTCTTTATCTAAACATTGACAATATTATATATATTATCCTGATCAGTCACAACATGAGGAATTATCAACTTTATCCTATCACAATACAAGAACTTTATCCGTTTATATTAACAAGAGGCCCATGGACCTTAACGGTCACCTGAGTCTACAGTATTTATTTTTGTTGTTGAAATATGTACCAATTTGAGTAAAAAATAGTATAATGTTAACTTAACTTTGTCAGGACCATGAGCTGATCATTCCTAGACCAATTTTAAGTGAGATCGGCCTATTAGAACTTAGTAGCAAAATAGCGGCCATGGCAGCCAAATTGTATTTCTGATTGACCCGAAAAATAACAACACTTTGTCAGGACCATGATTCGATCATTCCTACAAAGTTTCAGTTCAATCGGCCAAGTAGATCTTTACTTTAAGTTTGAAATAGTTTTTCAAAATGGCAGCCGTGGTGGCCATATTGGATTTCTGATCGACCCGAAAAATAACAACACTTTGTCAGGACCATGAGTCAATCATTCCTACAAAGTTTCAGTTCAATCGGCCTAGCAGAACTTGACTTTAAGTTTGAAATAGTTTTTCAAAATGGCGGCCGTGGCGGCCATATTGGATTTCTGATCGACCCGAAAAATAACAACACTTTGTCAGGACCATGAGGCGATCATTCCTACCAACTTTCAGTTCAATCGGTCCAGCAGAACTTGACTTTAAGTTTGAAATAGGTTTTCAAAATGGCGGCCGTGGCGGCCATATTGGATTTCTGATCGACCCGAAAAATAACAACACTTTGTCAGGACCATGAGGCGATCATTCCTACCAACTTTCAGTTCAATCGGTCCAGCAGAACTTGACTTTAAGTTTGAAATAGGTTTTCAAAATGGCGGCCGTGGCGGCCATATTGGATTTCTGATCGACCCGAAAAATAACAACACTTTGTCAGGACCATGAGGCGATCATTCCTACCAACTTTCAGTTCAATCGGTCCAGCAGAACTTGACTTTAAGTTTGAAATAGGTTTTCAAAATGGCGGCCGTGGCGGCCATATTGGATTTCTGATCGACCCGAAAAATAACAACACTTTGTCAGGACCATGAGGCGATCATTCCTACCAACTTTCAGTTCAATCGGTCCAGCAGAACTTGACTTTAAGTTTGAAATAGGTTTTCAAAATGGCGGCCGTGGCGGCCATATTGGATTTCTGATCGACCCGAAAAATAACAACACTTTGTCAGGACCATGAGGCGATCATTCCTACCAACTTTCAGTTCAATCGGCCCAGCAGAACTTGACTTTAAGTTTGAAATGTAAAATGTTAACGGACGACGGACGACGACGGACGAAAACGGATAGCAATAGGTCACTTGAGCTAAAGCTCAGGTGACCTAAAAACTAATCAGTTAAACGAAAAAAATAAAGTTTACATCACGCTTAAGTTCTGAAAAAGGCTGAAAATATTCATTGCTGCCTCACACAACGTTAGAACTTTAATCTTACCCTGTCACTTGATGAGAACTTTGTATATCTTGGATCTTCTTTTATTTGTTTCTTGATTTCTTTCCATACAGATGTAAGACTGGGCTGAAAGTAAATTGGAATATGCACACTTACAAATAGAACGAAATAATGACTGAAGTCAAACTCTATATTATAACATGCAAACAAATAAATGATTCATAATCAATTATTTTTGCCATCGACATGTCAGACAATTTTTCACAAAATGTTAATATGATATATGGAATTTTCACATTCAATAGAAATGAAAATGAATTTTGTGTACCAGACATTTCCACTCCACCCTAAAATAGTTGAATTAAAACAATAACCTGAAGCAATTGTTATTTGAGTTATGCTTCAAAGAGAAAAAGTTTTAAAAAAATGTCTGTACCATGGTGTCATCCATTAGTTTATGGAACATGTCCTTGTTTTTCTTGTTGAGGTTATCTATATGCTCCTCAAACAGCTTCTCCTTCTCGTCACGGTCAAGGAGATCAGCCAGGTCCCAGCGATGGTCCTTCCTCAACTGCTTGCGCGTGTCTCTCCATGTTACTTCAGAGTTACGCACCTGAAACACACATGACAAATCCTTGCATGTGAATGGAGTCTGAATATAAATGTCTTTTTCCCATTTTCTTCTGTAAACATTTTTCAGTTTACTTTCTCTGAGGGTCACCATTACCATTGTTTAATCAACAATAATTCTAAAAGGTCAGAAAATCTCCCTCCTTGAGTAATTTGTACTTATTCTGTGCTTCAAAAGACACATTGTTTTCCAAATTTATGTTCTGGTAGTTCCTCCAATGAATTTTCACTTACCTACTAAATGTCCGTACATGCATTGAAGAATTTTATAATTAAGCAATTAACAGTTACTCATTTAGAAAAATATTCTTACAATATCCTTGTCCAAAGCAAATTGAAGAAATGTTCAGATTTAGTATAAAAGATTTACTAAGGAGCACATACCAGGTCAGAGAGTAGGGCATTAAACAGCTGCATGGCTTCATCCTTTTTATGTTGTTCCCTCTCTTTATCACGCTCACGCAGAGATGTGGACAAAGACCTCTGTACTTCCTCCTCCCGTTTACGGATGCTGGCTTCCACTCTCTCCTGTTTCTCTCTATCTTTCTTATCGTTCTCTCTGTCCTTCCTTTCATCTTCATCTTCTGATACAGGCTGTAATGTATACATAACAATAATTTAAGTTGTATGATACAACATAGTAGTAAATTGTAAGGACCTGCTTGTGATATTTTTATCACCAGTTGATAGAAAGAAATTAGACAAGTCCTTTCAGTATACAGTGGGGAAACTGTTATGAAAGATGAATGCAGCACACACACAAATTTGAACGATTTGAAAGAAACAATTTGTCTAATCAACATTCCAGTTCTGCCTTTGGTAGATACTGTAGGCCCTAGGGGTGTACAATTTTATATATAGAACACTAGACCACAGGTTCATTTTGAAAATTTCTACTAGTCCCATACATATTCTTAGTAAATATTGAAAGTTTTCACTAGCTTCAACATGAAATCTCCTTAACCCTGGAGTCTGGCTAGTGGAATTGTACACCCCTTGTACTTACCATGAAATGTACCGTAGCCAACTCTTGATGATCATCTCACAGGTAAGCAAGAGTGTACGTGTGAGTTACAAGACAGGTCATTAAGTGTTTGATTATGAAAAAAAGGTGCCTTCCCAGCGTTTGATTGACATAGATACAAACCATGAAAGCAGTCAGAAAATATCAAAAAATTTGGTACTGAATGATGTACTGGGACCTGATAATTACAATTGTGTTTGATGTAAATCGAATCAGCATTAATGGTAGGATATAAGCCTGACTGCCAACCTATTTGCTTTTCTTAGAACTCTACTAACCTATGTTTTATCAAAATTTCAGCAGAAAATAAGTACTATTTTTTTTCCAATTTTAATCTTGGTAGAGTTATTAACTTCCGCTTATTATCTTGTGTGTACTACTGGTATATGTACTACTTACATCTTCCAACTTCCTTGCGTAGTCCTTAAACCAATCCTCTCGCCGAGAACTGCTGTCTACTGCTTTGTATCGAGGATCTGAGTCGATCTTACGTTTGATCTCGCTCCAACGCGAGTGTCGCTCAATGTCGGAAGTTTCCTTCAAAAGTGCCAAGAAGTCGGACTTCAGCTGAAAGGGACAAGACAACTATGTAGAGAAAGGAAGCTATAAACAGGTAATAGACACATGTTCACAGCAGTCATGTAAATGCTACACAAAATGTCTTTTGTTTTGTTCATCTAAGCCAAAATTAAAATTTATCACATTTTCCTATCACATCAAGTGTAATAGATGTGATGTGCTTTGTCATTATTAGGAATTTGTGTAACATTTTTGACACAAACAATATGGAGTAAGTTGCCTGAAAAGAAAATGTCATTACAAATCTTAACCCTACATGATTTCAACAAAAATTCATGTTAAAATGCTTAAAGCATTAAGCCATTCAAATTTGAAAAAAGACAGAAGTTTGGTATATTGATCAGCAGAAGCAATTATTACTGAAGAAATCTCAATTTGATGTTCCGATGACAATAATCAAAATAAAGGATAAAGAATTATGAAATGGCACATTATTTGTAAAAGAATTTATACCATAACATTTAAAAAAATACGATATATGATATTTTCATGAAAGAAATAGAGCACATGCTTTTATATAAAGCCTAATAATGTTTTCTTTAATTAATTTAATTAGAATTTGAAGATTTACATCTAAATCTTATGCTCTGTACAGGTAACATTTTAACACCTGTGACACCTGTGTAAAGGACACAAATGCTGAATGTGACACACATATGGCACATGTGTTCTTTACATAACTGCCATATGTGTGTAAATAATACCCGGTATATCAACTCTTCCTATAGTACACACGTACTTGGATACAATCATGTACATTATATATATATAAACCAAAGGGATACATGATAAAAAGACTACATAGCACTTTGAAGTCAACATGTTTAGGCCAAGTGAACGACACACAAATGCAATTTACATAAAATCTGTAAACATTGTTCTCTAAATAGGATCGTATCTCTGTAAATTGATCTATATTTGTAAAACAACGATCTGAATTATGTAAATTTCATTATCACAGAGCATAGATCACAAATAATTAAATGACATTATAGTCAAAGTTGAGATTATGTATCCTTCATTATCTATCAGCACTTTGAGAAATCAAAGCTGATTACATACAGTAACCCTGTCTCACTCGCCCTGCCAGGGACACATGTCCATAATTAAGTGTTATTTACCTAACAGATCAAAATGCAGGTAAAATTAATCAACACTTTGACTTGTCAACAGCTAATAAATAAGTAAGTTTACATGATCACATTTGGAAACACTTCATCACCGTCAATCAAAGCTATAAACTGTTTCTTAATGAATCCAGAGGAATTTGATATCAACATTATCCCAATCTACTAACAAATCATAGCTTGTTGTACAGTAATGAAATCCTTCCAAATTGTATGCGTTACCAGCACAAAGAACTTGATGGAAACTTGTATTTAAGTTCTTGATTTGCTTTTGTTTGGTGAAAATAAGTACAGGCATCTTTAAAGTCATATGATCGTTATATCAATCCATAAAATTGTAGAAACTGAAGATAAGTTATTGGTGACATTTATTTCCTCTGTAGCTCTATGTTTTGTAACTATTTTTTTCTAATGTTCCATGACAGTAATAGTGTCTCTAGAAAACACACCAAAAACCTTCCACAGCTTTGTGTTGGCATCACATACCTACACAAATACATAATTCTTTATATATGTATATCTCACAAAATTGTTGATTCTTGTCTCATCATGGGCGACTCCTTGAGTGTAGTTTAGAGTCAATTATCTTAGAACAGAGTTCTATATCCTCATCTGCAGAACTAGATAGATTTGATATGCTTACCTAAATATAATATATTAAGATTTTACAACATATATATATGGTTTAGAAACCATTGGCCTTTATCAAATAGAATTTAGTTTCATATTTAAAACAATAATTCTGCAGATGAGAAACAAAAATCCTGCTGGAAATTGTATTTTTTTTTTATTGTTTGAAAGGAACAGTTACATGATACTCTTTAACTCCCTATATTAAATAATTTCAATTGAAACAAAAGGAATACAGATTTTGTTTGCCACCAAGATACCAATTATAGAGAGAAACCCAGTACTGTTTTTCGTTTTTATAAGAATTCCTGATTTTGCCCAAAACACCTCTTTACTAACTCTTCTCCCCTATTGATACCGGACTAAACTGACACCAACCTAACCAGAGGATACCCATAACCAAAAACCATCAACTAGCTTCTTTTGTCTTATAAAAGATTCAGATTATTTTCTGAAGTCTATCTAGTCCTAATCCTTGTAATCAAGTTTCCACTGAATTTCACACAAATCCTTGTATTTTTCGAACTTAAATCAGAAAGATAATTTTGAGACAGAGACCTCATACAAATCTCGAGAACTTAAATAGACCAATTTTTGTTAAATGTACCTCCTTAAATGAAATCCAAATATCAAAGAAGAAATTACATTATAAAATTATCGGCCTTTATTGCTATGACTGTATCTCATTTCAGGGATTTTCGTTTAGACACTTGTACGACAGTGCCAAATATGATAACCTGGAGAAAATTATAATTAGCATCTTATAGTTAACTGTGAATTCAATAACAGCAATAAAGGCGAAATCCTGTGGAAATACCCCTTCAACTTGAGGTCAGTTTAATTCCCATTCACCATCAGGCAGTCTAGCTCCCAATATGCCTAACCTTTTCACTAAAGTATTTCCTGCATTAATATTCAACACCTTAAGATAAACATGTCAAAAGTATTTTCTCTCCCACATAGTATGTACAGATTAAGAATAGTGTAAGAATTTGTTTCTTCTTAATTCATTATTTCTTTTTTCAGAAACCGATTTCATCAGTATAGCAACATTATGTAACAGGCAAACGTTAAATAGAAACTTGAATCAAATACCATAAGGCTCATATAGTCTTAGTGTCAGACACCGAAAAGCTGTTCTGGGTCGAGTGTCGGTCACGCTAAACACATAGGGGTGAGTTATCCTCACATTTCAACCTCCAAGTTTAGAGCTTGGCTCTGTTGCCGATATCAGCCTCTTTCGAAAAGGGACAAATCAAGGAATTAAAGCACATGATGTCATATTAATAATATGTTAACCATTAATAGCCTTGTGGCTCTCTTTTATTAGAAAGCATGTCAAAAATAATGATTTAACTGATCAGTAGACTTCAAGGTCTTTATATATTTATATCAGATTCATTAATATTAAACATGATTATATGTTTATCATGAAAAGATATAAATTATGGTTATATAATATTATAAAAAATTACAGAAATCTTTACTTCAAATTATTTGGCAGGTATCGGAATTATCATTAAAATTGAAATTATTTTTACATTCACAAGAAAATGAACCATTCAATTATAGTAAAACAATGTAGTTATCATGTACTTGAGTTCATTTATCAAGAAATGACATTCACCAGATATGAGAACATGTCAACAAGTTATAATAAAACAATTGTAACAACTTTATAACAGCTGACATTTGTATCACTTTACAAGTAGACGTAATATTGGTTATCAATTAAGATATCATGGTTTTGCAAATAATGGAAACTTTGCAAGAAAAATTCTGTTGGTCTGATATTTTTATTAATGATTTTTTTAATATATCATTACTTCAAATACTTGTCCATTAATGCCAAGACAAATTTCATATTTAAAATCATTAATTGGGACGTTTTTACTACAATATTTATCAAACCAACAGAATTATTCGGATCTGAAAAAAAAATTTAAAATCAAACTGGAAAGGAAAAGCATGTGACATAAAAACTGAATGATTTTGTGAATTTCTTACAAATATCTGTAGAATTAGTTAAAATAAAATACTCTTGTTGCACACACAACATATATTGATCAATACTTCATCACTGTGTCTGATTTTACTTCAAACTTCACAATCATTGTATGTCATGGAATAAATCATTTATCAAATTTCTTAGATTTAATTAAATTAAATTATTAATTAAATGTATTGAGCAGATCATTATTTACTTTGTTAACATTTGAATCAGAAACCACAATATGATATGTTTTTTAACAATTGAAAGTTTTGATAATTATTTCCTCTACTGCAATCAAGAGATTTAGGCAGTCTCTCCTGCTACAAATATTTCTCAATTCCTCTTGCACTGAACCATTCCCCTGCCAATAGGGGTCAACACAGGGATAAAGATAGCATTTTCTCAACTGTGAATATTTATTATTGATCCTCAATAGCATAAATATTAAAGTTATCTCAAAGGACTGATATGTCGTGACTTATAATCAGCACATGATATTGTACAACTTATTATCCTAGTCATATTTATTTCGCGTATCAAGGTACTAACGAGGCACACAATGAAGAAAAATTCAGCTTGTCATAAAAATGTGAACCACTGATTCTGGTTTAACTATTCACTTAACCTCTGATGTGACTACTGTAAACTACTACATTTTCATATTAATTCAAGAGAAGGCACTGGGACATATTGAACTCTTCACCGAATATCAATTACTTGTGTAATTACTATTTAAATAGCATTTTATCTATCCAGAATTAAATACTTTCCAAATAAAACTTACATTTCATAAAACAAAATACACAAGGAACTTATCGATATGATACCATGGTTTAGCTGTATATGAAAACCTTCCCAGTAAAAAATATCAAAACCATTGTAATACTACTAACTTGTAAATGAACAAACACACTTTGCTATGAATGTGAAAATCACTATAAATTGGATCTATTAAACAGTACATGAAGGACTAACATCTGTGATGGAAACTTGTGTAGAGTTCAGTGTAAGAGGATATGAGAAACGGTTGTAGCATAACTTGTTGGCACAGTGCACATCTCTGATTGATCATGAACCCTGTATTGACCATCGAGGCATTCTCTGCCTCATGTGTCCGTGTTTCACCTTCCTCGACTACATACCCGTTCTTTTTGGAGGGATTTCTCTTCCTTCTCCTTCTTTCTCAGGTCTGAACAGTAGTCGCTGAAAATGGCTTCCCTCTCTCTCATTTTATCAATAGCCTTGAAACGGTCATCTTTGCCATATTTAGCTGCAAAGTCACTGAAGCTGGATCTACAATATCGACATCCAAAATCTTTACCATTTTGAAACACATGATGTATGAAAACTCAATCTATTATCTCTACATGAGCACAAACTTTTCTTTCAACATTTACCTTTCATATCAAGAGGAAAATTAGAGATACGTTCATAAAAATAATTCAAACTTAATCCACCCCTTCATTGCATTAAGGCTTAGCTAACCTTTCAATATTTGAAATTAGAACAACTTAGAATTAAACTAGGGTGTTTTACTATTCTATCAGTACTATTTGTACCTAACACAGTTTAACTTAAGAATCAATGTACCTATATCTGTTGAAAGAATTAAGTACTAAAACTTTTTGCTTGACTCAATACCATTTGATTTATCATTTCAAATACCTATGAACCAGTCAACTCCACATTCAAATATCTAAATATGTCATCTGACTCCAAAATTCAAGTACCTTAACATTTTGTATGGCTCGACAATCAAACTGTCCAAACCACAGTCAACTACTATAAGTACATAATTCATTTATCATATCACCAAGCTAGCTGTTCTGTACATGGCCTTGACCCTGGATTAAATACCCTGGCCACACGATCTTGTGACAAAATAGTAGGCTCTGTGGCTTAAAACTTCAGTACTGGTCACACTATCCTTCGCCAATATAGCAGGCCCTCTGGCTATGGCGACTGTAAGACCTTCAGTATGTCTCCAAACATCATGTTTTGGCAAGTCAGCATGTTTACAGACTTATTGCCATAAATCATTACATTGGTAATTTGATAATATTATTCACAAGTAAATGCATGACTTCAAGCATGATGGTAAAATTCATGAATCAACATAATTTCTAAAATACTTCTTCAGGATATTTTTTATTGTTATTGTTTTACACAAGCAATAGCTTAATCTAGTTCTCTCCACTTTGTTGATTGATGTACTTTTAAACATTTCACTAATTATAATCACAAATAATGCAAAATGCAAAAGCATAATATTGGAAACTTTTTGATTGTCTATTAATCTCGGTTTTATCGATCGAACAACAGTAATCTTTACTGAGAAATGCTAGACTCCCAAATTTAATTCAGTTTAATTGATGAAATTACAATCACATTTATAACAATTCATTTAACGTACATACCTCTGTATATTTGAAACATTTTATTTTTATACAAGATAGCTTTAAAATAAGACCTCACTGAAATGCATTCTATAGGAAGGCATGGTGGTACATACTTTCCATGAAGTCTCGCCTCATCAAGTAGCTGTCGGAAAGAGTCCTTCCTCTCACGTAGTTTTCTGTGCTTCTCTCTGCGTTCCTCCTCAGCTCGCTCCTTTACGTATTGTTCAAATACCTGTTTACGCTCCTTGGAGGTCAGCAGTAGATAGCGGGGGTCAAACACGATTTTGTGAAGCTCCTTCTCCCAAGTAGAAAACGCAGACACCTGGAACACATGCATACAGGTCAGAATCAGAATGTTTTATAAAACTCACATATACTAATTTTTTCCCAAATCATGTATCAGAAAAATCACAGAAAGCAATGTACCATCAATATCAGAACTCACAAACAAGGATTTTAAATACTTTCATTTAACAAATTTAATTTTTCTTGCGATTCTGGCTTGTGCATTAATTTTGAGTTCACAAAAACCTCATCATTTTTTTATGGGAAAAAGCTTTAAAGATTACCAGATCAAAATAATTAAGATTAAGCTTGAAATTTCCAATACCTAAATGTAAAAATACCTGACAAATTATGTTGACAGTATTAAGATGGAAAAGTGTACATTTGCCTTAAATACTCCAAACTTAAAATAATGTGTTTTACCTCCTTCTCTGCCAACATGTCCCGGAACTGCTTCATGCGAATCTCCAGTGGGACCACCGCCCGCTGTCTCGCTGCCTGGACCTCTGCCTCAATGGCTGCTTCCTTACCTACATCTATCCTCTTCACCTCGTCCTTCTTGTCCTCTGTCAGCTCATCCATCCTAAAAACACAGCATATAAATTACATCAACAAAGTAAAGGCACCATCCAAACTAAAAAAAACATTCTTTATCATACTGATGTCCAAGTTTCAGTTTTGTTGATACAAGCATTTGTTCTCAAATACTTCGTTCCTAACCTATCAGCTACAAGTCTAGTGCTCCACCATTTCATCCCTCTAACAGTGCCCTTTATATGTGAGTAGATAGTTCAGCATTGTAACCCTTGAAACAGCTAGCACTGTTACAATAAGTGATGTATCTGTTACAATAAGTGATGTATCCGTTACAATAAGTGATGTATCTGTTACAAAAAGAGGCCCAGAGGGCCTGTATCGCTCACCTGGATACCTAAGCAATCATGGCAAACTATTCTCCAAATGAGATCAAGGGAATATGCCAGACCCCAAGGCCAATCCTTGTAGCATAGCTATATTAGATTTTTCATGCCCAGCAATTTTATGTATGGTTATGGGGTGGGGATCTCAACTGTTTCCAAGCTTTGACTCAGAAACTAGGTCCCTAGAGTTGTGTCCAGACCCCAGGATCGATTCTAATATCTTGACTGCATTTGTCTCTTTTTGCCAAGCATTTGTATATATGGTTTTGGGGTGGGGATCTCAACCGTTTCAAAGTTATGACCCAGGGGCCAAGTCTGCAAGGGTGGGGCAGACCCTGGGATCAATTCTAATATCATGACTGCATTCGTCTCTTTATGCCCAACAATTGTATATATAGTTTTGGGGTGGGGATATTAACCATTTCAAAGTTATGACCCAGGGGTTAAGTCTCCAAGGGTGGGGCAGTCCCCAAGGCCAACCTGGAAGCATATGTGCAATCATCTCTTTATACTCAGCAATTGTATATATACGGTTATAGGGTGGGGCTCTCAACTGTTTCCAAGCTGTGACTAAGAAACTAGGTCCCTAGGGGTTCGGTCAGACCCCAGGGTCTATTCTGATATCATGATTGCATTCGTCTCTTTATGCCCAGCATTTGTATATATAGTTTTGGGGTGGGGATCTCAACCGTTTTAAAGTTATGGCCCAGGGACTATGTCTCCAAGGGTGGGGCCAGACCCTAGGGACATCCTGGAAGCAAATGTGCATTCTTCTCTTTATACTCAGCAATTGTATATATGGTTATATGGTGGGGATCTCAACCATTTCCAAGTAATACATTTTATTGGCCCCACCCCTTAGCCTGGGGGGTCAGCCCCACCATTTGTACAATTTTGAATCCCCACCACCTAGGGATGCTTCCAGTCAAATTTAGTTGAATTCCAACCGGTGGTTAAGAAGAAGAAGTCGTTTAAAGAAATTGTTGAAGTACGGACGACGGACGGCACGGTATGGCATAAGCTCACCTTGGTCTTTCAGACCAGGTGAGCTAATAAGTGATGTATCTGTTACAATAAGTGATGCATCTGTTACAATAACTGTTACAATAAGTATGTTACAATAAGTGATGTATCTGTTACAATAAGTGATGTATCTGTTACAATAAGTGATGCATCTGTTACAATAAGTGATGTATCAGTTACAATAAGTGATGTATTTGTTACAATAAGTGATGTATCTGTTACAATAAGTGATGTATCTGTTACAATAAATGATGTATCTGTTACAATAAGTGATGTATCGGTTACAATAAGTGATGTATTTTTCTCCTTCTTTGTACTTACTTCTGCTTCTTGGCCTGGGGTTCTCCTTCTTCCTCCTCTTTCTTCTCGGCTGCAACAACAATAAATTAAGCATTTACCATATAATCTATATAATTACTGCAAAACAGAAGACCATTAGGTGAAGTTTTAAGTAAGCTTCTTTAGCACTTTTATAAAAGAGGTCTGAATTGGTAGAGATGAATTTCTATTATCATTACAATAAAACAGGATATTTTAGAGAAAAAAGGGAAATTCTGCTTGGACTCGGATATGTTATCCTGTCAAAATAGGTTCAAATTTCTATTAAGCATATCTTGTTTTAATTCTGTTAATATAATTGTTTTGCTATTTGTGTGTAGGAGGAAATGAGCAGTTTAGTGACATGTGATTATACATATTATAATTGTATATTATATTCCTGTGAGCTGAGGATACTGTCATTACTACTGCTAGTAAATGTATGTCTGTATTGTTCTCTGCTCCATTACAAGTCCTATTTACCCTTGGTGGCATCAGGGGGGGCCTGAAGCATCTTCTCCACGTCGGGACGTCCTTGGATCTCCTCTGGCTTCTCCCACAGCGAAGTACGCTGGCTGGGGTTATAGAAGAAGACACGCCCATCTCCTGTCCACACCACACACCTGTCAACAGACACATATATCTGATGATAGTGTCATACACACACACCTGTCAACAGACACATATATCTGATGATCGTGTAATACACACACACACCTGTCAACAGACACATATATCTGATGATAGTGTAATACACACCCACCTGTCTGTCAACAAACACATATATCTGATGATAGTTATACAAGAGTATCACGTTCAGAGAGGAGAAAGAGTTAAAATCAAAGTAGTCAAACTTTAATCAATTCAGAAGACACCAAAGTTACAAGTCTAGTCATTAAGGAAAAACTGATGGTCTGAAAGCTTTCAAAGTTTTTGTCAATGAGTATATTCAGAGATGTTTTTGCCAACAAAGTTGGAAGGTCATTTTTTAAGCATCACTGCTGTACCTGTTTTAGCCTGCTGTTAAAAACCAGGCTTTTAAAGTTCTACATATTTTCAAGCATGTCCATGTCATTTTACTTTAAATTTCTTCACAAAAAAAGCCATTCCTTAAACGTTAAGAGATTTTTTACCATGGTGTTTACTGTACATTGTACTTAAATTCTTGATACAGGTATACTTGATGTATCAGTGTGTTCCTTCTATATGTTCTATACTGCATCAGTGTATTCTTGGAACAGGTGAACTCGCAACTTACCGATTGTACCAGTACAAGTGTAATGCACATTAAGTGTTATTGGTAAAGATGTACTTGGCAATTCCAATGGTTTTCGTAATACAGATGTACTGGATACTTACCAAGGTGTTCCTGGTACAGGTGTACTGGATACTTACCAAGGTGTTCCTGGTACAGGTGTACTGGATGTTTCTGGTACAGATGTACTGGATACTTACCAAGGTGTTCCTGGTACAGGTGTACTGGTTGTTCCTGGTACAGATGTACTGGATACTTACCAAGGTGTTCCTGGTACAGGTGTACTGGATGTTTCTGGTACAGATGTACTGGATACTTACCAAGGTGTTCCTGGTACAGGTGTACTGGATGTTTCTGGTACAGATGTACTGGATACTTACCAAGGTGTTCCTGGTACAGGTGTACTGGATGTTTCTGGTACAGATGTACTGGATACTTACCAAGGTGTTCCTGGTACAGGTGTACTGGATGTTTCTGGTACAGATGTACTGGATACTTACCAAGGTGTTCCTGGTACAGGTGTACTGGATGTTTCTGGTACAGATGTACTGGATACTTACCAAGGTGTTCCTGGTACAGGTGTACTGGATGTTTCTGGTACAGATGTACTGGATACTTACCAAGGTGTTCCTGGTACAGGTGTACTGGTTGTTCCTGGCTCAGATGTACTGGATACTTACCAAGGTGTTCCTAGTACAGGTGTACTGGATGTTTCTGGTACAATTGTACTGGATACTTACCAAGGTGTTCCTGGTACAGGTGTACTGGATGTTTCTGGTACAGATGTACTGGATACTTACCAAGGTGTTCTGGGTACTGGGTACAGGTGTACTGGGTGTGTCTGGTACAGATGTACTGGGAACCTACTAAGGTGTTCCTGGTACAATTGTACTGGATACTTACCAAGGTGTTCTGGGTACTGGGTACTGGGTACAGGTGTACTGGATGTTTCTGGTACAGATGTACTGGATACTTACCAAGGTGTTCCTGGTACAGGTGTACTGGACACGGGACGTGCCTTCTCTGCTGCCTTCTGTTCCTCTGTCTTCTCATCTTCCTCCTCCTTCTTCTCCTTATGAGCAGAGAACAGAGATTTTACAGAACATGCATACTTTACCAATTTACAATTGGAACTGTTTAGCATTCTACTGGTATATACACTATACTGAACATACAAGATATATATGGTAGAGGTAATTGGGACCAAGAAAACACTGGGGAGATCAACAATTCATATTAGTTGGTGTCTTGATTTTTGAGATAGTGATCAAGCTACCCGACTGGTTTCCACAAATCCTTGACCATGGAAGGAAAATAGAGTTAACATTAAAATGAACAGAAATGAGATAAAATGAAGACTAAGGGAGGATTGATAAAAGGTTGTGATTATCAAATATAATTGTTTTATGCTTCTATTTACAATCTACAATCTAATCAAGATTTAAAAGTCAGGGAAACTATCCAACCAAATAGGTTAGGCCTACTATTATCAGTAACATCTTCAAAACTAATCATCAAATATCAGATTTCTACCAGTTTGTAAATCTAAAGAAGAAATGTATTCTCAAGGTTTGTCATTATTAAATTCCTAAACACTGATATCAACTTTATATGTACCTCTTCCTTTTCTTCCTCTTTTTCCTCTGTATCATTAGATGCTTCCTCTGTTGCTGCATTGTATCCATTGACCTGTGGACTGTCTGTCTGCATGGGCTGTGGCTGTTGCTGCTGCTGCTGCTGCTGGGGAGCAACAGGTGGTGGTAGTTGTTGCTGTTGTTTCTGGGCTAGTTTAGCTGTGTGAAAATACAAATAATACAACATTTACAGGCGTCTCTTTAGCTATGAATACTTATTTTATCAATATCTAATGTCTCTGAAAATTGTGATTTCCAAATTTTTCAGATTAACACATCATACCACTATTACAAGAAAAATTGTAATTAATCATTCACATCATGTTTTACATATTACAGGTAGTTCTTTATTATAAAGCTTACTCCAATGTCACATTTGTCATTATTTAGTACTGGAACAATGATGATACTGCATAACAGGTTCAGTTTGCTGTGGTCCTTTTTCCACCACAGGCTGCTAAGTGCATTTAGTGTGTTATTGAATTTTCGGATTCAGAGTACAGTTTGTTTTCAGAGCACAAAGTTGCTATCAAAGGTCATAGCAAAAAGTAAATATCACGAAAGTAGCATGTTAAAGTGTAGTTTGAATTAATTTTTCTACTAAAACCTTTCACTAATATGTCATGCTATTTTATTTACCTTCCCAGTCAACCAATGTCTGTGGTTTGTCCCATGTAGATTCCATAGAACGCGAGTTGTAGAAGTAAGAACGGCCATCACCATTTTTATGCTCGGACCATTCAGCAACCTCTGGAGGCTTCGGTGGCATCTGGTAGTAATTAAATATACAAGCAAACTGTTGTAATGGCACTTTCTAAAGTTTGTTTCTAAGTAGAAGACTATTTATTACCCCAGATAAAAAAAATAGTATAAATCATGAACATACAATTTTCTAGTTTCAAATTTTGCCTTGTTATATGAAAAGTATTTTTACCTCAGTAATTGAAAATAAATGGTGTGTGTTTTTGGGGCAGAAAGTTACCTGTTACTGACGAAAATTTAAGATGCTTGAGTCTTATGAATTCTAGTACAGAAAAATCTATTACCAGTATCAGTATCTGGATTGAACTGATAAATGCTACTACATCAAGTTAACTGAATACATACAAAGAGCTTCCCGTGTGATTGGCAGGATTGCTATACAACTTCCTCCGTAGACCAATGACATTAGTAAGAAATCTAACTATGCCTTACTGTTTATCCATCAAATTAGTTACATAAATAACATTTACCTGTGTGGTGGGAGGTTTCTGAGCTGCTACAGCATCAGTAGCAGTTTGCTGTGCCTCTGGCTGACTTGGTATAGGCTGTGCACTGTTTTGGGTCATGGGTGCAGGAGTGAAGCCTTGGCCCATCTGATTGAATCCTGAAATTTTTGACAACAATTAATATTGTTTGGCACCTTGTGTAACATTGTATTTCATATTTGAATGTCTTTAATAATTTACCGATTTACAAATAAATTTTAGTTATGGTTTAATTTTTAATGCTCCTATATATGAGTTCAAATTTTCATAGGCGAGTTTTGGAAGAGAAAAAAAAATCAGGAATGAAAATGGAGAGACTCTTTACAGGAGTAGTGTGTTACCTGTCATGTCTGGTGTGGCACTGGCTGGGTTCTGGTTTGTTGCAGCTGCTTGAGCTAAAACAAAATAAAGATTATTATCTCAAACACGTTGAGAAAAATGTTCAACAGATATTTCTTCTGATTAATATATTCCTTATAAATTATTAAAAAACTTATGACAGTGGCAAATCAATCTTTTATAATTTTTTAATTAAAACAAGGCTTTATCTTAGCATTGTCCCAATTGGGACGATTGCAACCGTGTAGGAAATTTTACCGATAAAAATGTCATTTCCCTCAAAAAGGTAGGATGAATCTCGGAGCATTATAAAATATATATTTATAAGCAAAATTAACTAGTTTTCAATTCTATGAACAGATTGTTTTTTTAAACAAAATTAGAAAAAAGTTATGCAAAAAATTGAATTGATTTCTTTATCAACCTTAGTCAGGGTTTCCATTAAGAACAGGCAGCAGGCCTAAATGTAATTTTACAAAATTTGGTCAGTTAAAAATGTCATTTGGTCTGATCAAATAGAAGTTAGTGAAAAGCCTGTTCATGAGATACGTAGTAGATGATCTTACCCTGGGCAACTGCCGCCTGTGCTGCAGTGGATGTGCCACCAGCAGATGTTGTGGTGTTTGTCTGTAAGGCCTGCGATGCCATTGCCTCCACGTCAGCCTGCGTAATGATCTTCACATTCTCAGGTTTAACCCACGCAGATTCTCTGGTGCGAGCATTATAGAAGTATGCCTGTGGAAACAGAAGCCTAGTACTTATATTGATGCTCTTGCATTGATCTACGGACCAAACAACGTTTAAGATGTTCAAAACATTGAATTGTGAAGCTATCCTGTAACTATTGAGACAAACCATTATTGTTTGTAGGACACTGAAGGATTTCATCAGAAACAGCAATTTGTAAAAAAAATGTAGAATTGTATCTTAACATAAAAAATGTGCGGGAGATATGACAAAAATACAAGGTGTTCATTGAAAATGTCAAATTAATTGTTTGTGCAAAAAAAGAACATCAATGGAGTCATGGGCAACGCATGTTGTCATTTTTTGCGATCCTGTACAACTGGAAGGGCAAAAGTTTTTTAAGCCTTCATATAGCATAGAACCAACTCACTCTCATTTTCCCTTACTTTCCGTACATGTGTTGCTATAACGGCTCGCACTGCTTGGCTAGATCACTTCGCGATCATCCGAGAGTGCCCGCTAATAGTAGCAAGTACTATTTTCACAAAGAAAACACCCTGATTATGTTTTATATACCTTTCCCTCAGCTGTCTTAGTCTCTACCCACAGTTCCTGGTTCAGGTCCGATCCTGTCTGAGTGCCTCCTGGGGAGGTTGGTGGCATTGAAAATCCTGGAGGTGGCATTGAAAAATTTGGTGGTGGCATGTTTGGTGGTGGCATCATAGGGGGTCGCTGTAGAAAATAACAGATTGATGATTTTCAAATTAAAAAATCAAATCAAAACGTAGTACTTATTTGAAACCTAACTTACCGAAATGTAGGGGTCCATGCCTTTATCAAGACCAATAACTTAAGTATGGTTAAAAATAGTTTTCTCCGACTTGGAGATGTTGAAAATGTATCGGAAAAGTAGCATCAAAAATATCACGAACAAGGATGAGATGAATTCTGATTCATTCAGATCAATATATGGATTGCCACATACTTGCGAAATTGCTCAAAATACACAATTGTGTTTTCGTCAGTCTCTACAATTTAAGCTGAATAATAAAGTAAAAGATTGTCATTTGTTGAAAGAAATAATGGTTCAACACATGGATATACATCTACTTTTTGTTTATCAAGCAGTTAAAGACTCCGGATAGTCCAATTTGTAGATGTACTTTGAAAGAGGAACCATCATCATTTATCATAAATATTGGCAGTTATAAATACTAGCGACATCATGTTGTCAGAAAATCATAGATCTGTGATGTGTTAACAAACTGATTTTGTCAAAGTTGGTTGATATACGTTGTCAAACTTTTTCTAGGTATTAATATTTGTCCAAATGAAAGTGTCATTTTAAAGTACACTGCAATTTGATTCATGTATCAACCCTAAGGTACTGAAGGATCTGATAATTGACATGTAGATTAAGTAATAGATATTCACACACAATTTTATTACTATACTTATCCTGCAATTAGCCCAAGGGCTAACACAAAACCTCTGTTAGGAGGGGACATTTTACAGGGAAGTGAAATGAAATAGAAATGGATGGGCATTTTACCAGGCAGAAACTTACTGCTGGATAAATATGAAATTGAGTTGTGTGTACATATATGTTTTATTTTTCCCTACCTCAATAAAGATCACTGACAACCTCATCAGGATATCTTTCCAACTGCTCCTAATGTATGTGTACACATATTGAATTTGAACATAGCATTAAATATTCAAATTTTTCTTTTTTCTTTTTTCCCCCCAACACTTTTCTGACATACAAATTCACTTACCATACCCGGTGGAGGCATGCCTGGGGGTGGCATGCCAGGAGGCTGCATGCCAGGAGGTGGAGGCATGCCTGGTGGGTGCCCCATCCCTTGTGGTGATCCCATTCCTGGTGGGGGTGGACCATAGTTAGGGTCAAAAGGAGGTCTACCTGGCCCTCCATAATGGGATGGATGTCCTCTGGGTGGCCCTCTCATCCCAGGTGGTGGCGGACCTCGCATTCCAGGAGGAGGCCCTCTCATCCCTGGGGGTCCTGGAGGTCCCCGAAATCGGGGAGGACCATGTCCGGGTCCTGGAGGTCCTCTTCCAAAAGGTGGCCTGAAACGAGAAGCCCTCATTTAATATACAATTAATAATCATGGTGTTCTATATATGTATTCCTCTTTGTTTTACATAATTCCATATTCTAACTTCAATAAGTACTCAAGCTACATGGTCATATTAATCAGTTATAATAATAATATTAACAAGAGATTCGTTTTATTATTCATTTATATCTTTGTGAACATCAGACTCAGGTGTTAATCATTCATTTATATGTCATGCAAAAAACCAATTGGCCCTAATATATATTCACTCTCGAATATTTTTTTAGTGAAGTTAAATAGCTATAAGGTAGGAACCACTAATTCAGCTGTAGCTTTCACTAGTCCCAGACTAGTACAATACCCTTGTTCAATGTATTGCATTCATGTATTGTCTAGCCATGATACCGTAAAATGGGGAAATACTCTCATGGGCCAACTGTCTTTTGCAGGACATAACATGTTAAATGAAAGGTTAACACCTGAGCCTGATGTTCACAAAAACATAAACGAATAATTAAACTGATCCCTAATATTATTTAGAAAATGGATAAGTTTAGTAAACACTCCAGCAATTTTTCCCCAAGAATATCATCATAGAAATAAATGAATATATGTCTGAAAATATACAAGCAAATTCATGGAATTACAGGACATATTGTAGGTTAACATTGTTGAGGTTACAGTTTCTCCCCAGGCCGTTTAAGCGTGATGGTGATGGTACCAGTACACATGAATTTTGAGCCATTACGCATGCATTTGACCGTTACTCATTGAGAGGTATTTACGACTGGAACATCAAGTTCTCACAAATTGATAACCTCTTCTCCCCTTTCCAATTAGACTCACCCTCATTAGACTAGCTTTTTATTGTTCCCTACGATGGACACCCTGATCAATGAACTCTGCCCTGGGGGAAGATTTACCTGTGGGGATCTGAACTAGCCTACATATAGGTGTGAAACGTGAACAATAGTCCACAATTACCAGTTTGTTAGTTTGTCTAATTATATTTAATGATGTCTGTTTATTATCAAGGCTTCAATCTACATTTTGATTTTCATAGGTGGCCGTCAATTACATGTACACCAAAATAAGAAATACAAACCCAGAAGTAGTCTACTGTACAAACAGTAACTTTGTACTAGGAAACGTCTGCTGACCTACCTTTGCTGCATTGTTTTTAGCCATCAAATTTTAATGCTTGAATTAGGTTAACTATGCGAGAAGTCTTTATCAACAAACATAAATATCTCTCAATGAGTAACGGTCAAATGCATGCGTAACGGTAGAATGGTGATGCGCAACAGCTTAAAATTAATGCGTAACAATACACGCTAAAACGGCCAGGAGAGCACAGCCTATATAGCTATATTTTCTCAGATTTCAATTTTCGTTAAATTAAAACAAAATCGCATAAACAATAAGGTTTATGGTAATGTTGACTACAAAAAGCATAAGATGAGCGTACCCAAATCGATCTGATTTTACCATCATTTTATTCATTCAAGGAAAAATCTTAGGGGGAATTATATTCATTTATGGATCGGTACCCAAATCGGATCCCTTTACAAAAATACTTATAAATAAATAAATGTGTCAACAAATCAGTTATAACAATGATGTAGCCTTAGAATAGATACCCATGCACCATTTCTTTGTCTACGGATAATTAGTTTTTAAGTTCAAATAGCGCAAGGAAACGTAATTCAAACTCAAATGTCCATGTTTTGATTACGTTTATAAAAGATCGCGCGTGCGACGACTATGCACTATGTTTTGGACTATAGGAATAAATTCACACTATAGAAATTCTTTTTGTCATAAACATTCTAAGGTCATCTAAACGTTTTGCATCCCGACATTCGCAAAAACCGGAGACAGATATATGGCTAAATCGGCAGTGTACTGCCCCTGCCTACTGGACCTGTCGACGTCATCGGTCACGTTGAAATCGGGACGAACTTCTTCGAGTTAAATACATAATGAAAAACTGATTTATTAAACGTATAACCGTTTTTGCATGATTTAAATAATCAAATGCAGTTCGTTCGAAGGCATTAAATTCACCGACCATTTATCAATTTGCACGTCGGCACGAGACAATAAACAAATGGTCGGCCAGATTTATGCACAAAATACTCATCGTTTGTAACTACCTTGGACCTCTCATGAAACCTCTTCCACGTGGAGGAGGTCCGGGGTAGGGAGGACCCCTGTGCATTTTGTAATTGTCCTGAAAGTTATCTTGATCGCCCTTAAATCCATCTTGTTCTCTGGGTTCTGCGTTCTCGCTTTCGTCCGCCATTTTCCACACGCTTCTGTACAGCGAGCCTCGTTTTCGTTCACTATTAACACTGGGAGTATTTAGTTTCGAAATTAATCGCACGCATCGATTGAAGTCAATAAGACTAGGTTTTATCCAAGTAATTATCAATTTATCGCGTTTTTGATCGTGAAATTTTCCATTAAAGATTATTTAGTTAAACGAAAAAGAATACCAAAACTAATAACTGTGCCTAGCTTTACTTCACAAAAGCGAAAATGACGTCACCAAGGAATCACCTGTCATGTGAAAACACACCGGTGTAGACTAAAAGCGTTTAAACTGAGTTCTTTGCCACTTCGCTAAACACACTAACATACACATAGTGCTGTATGTAAATTTGAATCACGAGTTGGTTATACAATCAACGTGTACATGAGCGAACACACATGTTCCGAGTCACAGGACCTGATAGTGCTAAGCACGGATAGCGATTCTGGAAAGGAAATTGATGAAATGACGTCTCGAGTACTACCTCCTGATGTTACATTCGCCCCGAGTCGTTCTCCAACAAGAACTGGACGGGGGAACGAAGAACATTCACCTCTTTTAGCATCTAGGGTTGAACACGAGTATGGATTATTTGAGAATAATTTTCCTGACGACCCAGAATATCAAGAAGTGATCAGAGTTGCAGAATCTGCCATTGAGGAAGGATTTTTACCAGAAAGAATCTTCCAGGGATCGAGTGGAAGCTATTTTGTCAAAGACCAAGATGGGGTACGAATCTTGTCATTTATAGAATTTAAATACATCTCTTGTATCACCTATAGCAGCGACACCAGAACATTATATCAACCAGTGTGTTTTTTCTGGAGACTTTTTTGGCAGAAAATGGGCCCATTCCCATTCGAAACTATTCCATATTTATGTCCTATTCCCAAAATTGCTACACACTCCAGAACATTTTCCAATCGCCAATTTGGTATATTTTCTTCCCAAAATGAGACAAAAATGCCCCATCTCAAATTAACGGGAAAAACACTGTCCATCAATTGCAAGAAGGAAATTGGAATTAGGTGATAAAATATTGGCAATTTCACTTGATTAATTGTAATTAAGATACTAGTACATGTATACATATAGAAATCGATGTTAGTGATCTTGGATACTAAGTATGCAATATTGTATTAATAACAGACATTTACACATAACTTTCATTTAGGTTCCTCTTTTTTGCTTAATTTGATATGGGGATTTCATCAAGGCCAAAAAGAAATATGTCTGTTTAGGGTTCCCGACCAACCCTAGCTTTTTACCCCCGACCCAAAACTTTTGATGAAAAAAAAATAAAAAAAACTGGCGATTTTTGAATTTTAGAAAGTTCCTTGCTTATCAAAATGGCTTCTAGCTCCTATTGGCGCTAAATGTTAGCATATGGAGCACAAGTTGCCTCCAAATGAACCTTGTTTATGTAATTCTTTGTTTTACATACAATAGTAGGGTCATAATCACATGACCACCCGGTACACAAAAATTTACCAAAAAAAACGACCCTTGTTGTTTTTTATCCATGCAACCCTAAACAGACAATTTTTTGTTTTGTCCCAATATGAAACCAGTAGAAAATTGTATACAGTACTGAAATAGAATATAGGGGCTACATTGAAATGTTTCTAATTTGTTTTTCATTGTATATTGTGAAAGCAACTTTCAATATGTGGTCATAAAATCCAAGGTCACACTCTTTGCAGATCCTTTGATTTTCTCATGACAAAAACAAAAGCACAATTATCACCTATTCGATTTGTTCCTGACATAAAAAATGACTGCTCACAAGGCTCAAAGAAGTTGTGCTTAGCCTTTGAAGATTATAAAAGGGCTACTCTAGGTTCAAAGCTGGTCTTTTTTACAGTTATGCTGCTGCTGCATGATTCACATTCATCTTTTGATCAACGAGATCACAGGTACATGTAAGGGAGTAAGAAACCAATCAAATAGCTTACCACAAGCCTAAACCATTGGAATATTTCAGGACAGGTTATAAAGGAGATATATATATGTATATTGACATAGTTTGGAGATCTAGCTGAACGATGCTTTCTTGGTTGAAATATTGTTGACATCACCTGTATGTTGACCTTTGTCCCAGGTATAATATTCTGTTGGCCTTTGCACATTTCAGAAGATAGTTGACCTAAGATTTCTATTTGGTTGCTGCATACAAGTTCTAGAGACCAAATAACATTATCCCCAATCATGATCCTTATCAGGCCACCAAACTGTTGTAACTAATGGTCCATAATACCTGTTATAAACATGTATAGATAGATGTACAACACTTATATAGCTTCTAGAAGTGTAACTAGAGCATCACTAAAATTGTTTAGCCCAATTACAGCTGTTACAGTTTGTGGGTACATAAGTATACACTGAAGTGCATCAATGTACATCATATATATCAATGCACATCTGTCGTCTAGTGTTTAAATGATTTGTTGAAAGGTTTAGAACAAGGTGCCTGAAGCATCAGTTTTATCAATATTTGTCATGACAGTCATTCAGTTATCTGTTATCACAAGATAATTTTTTTACCCCAGTTTTATGGTAATCAGATTATACAGATAACAGAAACAATGTGGGTGTGATTTTTTTATTTATATACATCTGTAGCATGTGACTTTCAGATTTTTTTGTGTTTTACCTGGTTGTAAACTGTCCTGCTGTCTGAAAGCGTAGTCTAAGGTCAAGTCATGTATTGAACACCACAGCCGCTTGTCTGTATTGATTAGAAGTCAAATTATTTAATTGATGTCTTCACTTGAGTAAAAGGGTATTTTTCTGCCTGATATATTGATGGGTATTTCATATAATCATGTTTACAACTGTCTAAAGTCATACAGTATGACAAGCCATACCTTCTATACTTATAAGCATAAATGGGTATTTTGGGTATACTGGTACATTAACGGGCATGGTGTTAGATGTTTTTACATACCTGACTACCTGGTTTACCGGATATACTCATTGCCCCGGGCCTTGTTTGACATAAGTGACTCTACATGTCAGGTGATTATGAACTGTTACAGTCAGGTGTGAGGTATCGGGTAGATTCTACCTGTGTACTCCATACCCCAAAATCAAATAGGAGATGCATGGCAGCTGTGTTTTATGAAGGTTTGCAAGGGATAGCTTTTCCTTAAATATTCATGATCAGATTAAAGGGGCTATTTATTTAGTCCAATAACAACCTTCAAATCGATTAGATACTGAACATACAATGTATATACCTCCTAATGAAACCTTACATAGGTGATTTATAATATTATGATATGACTTGAAACCAACGTCCAGTGTGGTCAATTTTTCTTTCGGGGAATGCCAGCAGCTGTGATAAATCTAGCTACGACCAAAATAGCGCAATTTTTAGGCCTTTCAGTAAAAAGTAAACATGTACAGTGCCATGCAGTCAACCGACAACTGAGGGTGTCAGTGAGTCTGATTTCTCAAATACGCAATACATCGCAAACAATCATTATATCATATAAATCCAGTGAATTTTTGTGTTAACAGTTGGATTGGAATAAACATAAACAGTTTTAATTAGAGCAAGCACGCAAGATGGTACCGTAGGGAGAATTTCAAACTAAACAAAGTACGATAAGTGTACCTAGATTTAAATGTAAAATAAATATATTTATAGCGATGATTGGGATTTTGTTTTAGAGATGCTATATTGATTCAGAATGAAAGCTGGTACCTATATTCTGAAGAAGTTACAAGAATTTACATTTGTTCATTAGAAGTTCACGGATAGCTGACTTTAAAACATATGGTTGTGCAGTTAAGGATTTCTTCATTACAGATTAAGAACTCCAAGAACACGATGTCTCTTTCTTGACTTAAATTGTTTATAAGTATGATCAGACTATTATTATGAAGAATTTTGCGATTCTAACTTTTAAAAAAAATCTTCTCAAAATTGTCCCTTTAAAAACTTCAACAGCTTATATTGTGTACGTTTGCCCGATATATGATAAGTACTCTATACAGAAAGGAAACAACATGTAATTCATTTTGAAATGTTTAGGTGTAACAGCTGTATTCATGAAGAAAGATTATATTTATATAAATCTGAATCAGATCGTTGTTCAGTGATATTCTACTTCTAAGTATACTAAATCATATAGAATGCTTAGATTGGATGTACTGTATAGGCTTCATTTAACTCTAAAAGCTTGATAATAGTATTTCTATAATAAATATCAATCTGTCAACTTGAGTCACATTATTTCATTAATTGCGGTACTTAGACAAAACAGGTAACCTCTCTCTGTAGCCATACATTTTTTTACAGTTTGAATAAGAACTGCAGTGATTTAACAGTGATATAATCCTTTACTCGTAAATGATAAAATAAAATCCATGGCTTCAAACATTTCTGTTGATGACTGTCATTTTTCTAAACGCAGATTTCATAAGGCTACTAAAACTGACCATAATCGCAGGCTCTTAAATTAATTCTATGGTCAGATTTAATTAACAGACTAAGGTTTCCCTTAACCAGTCAGATCAGGTTTTATTTTCTTGTAAGTACAAAATATACTGTATCAGAAAATGGGAATACATATCCAGTTGGCTACAATTAAAATTCAAGTCTTAATTCAAAACTTGAAGATGGCGATACATTTTATCTTACTGGTAAGAAAAACAGTTGAAGCATCAAAACTATTTTAAAGACAAGTATATATTTACAAAATGATTATTATATTTGTTGTACTTGAAGATTTCCACAATTTTATCTTGTTTAATAAAAAAAAAAACAGAATTTTTTGAGTGGTGTCAACATTATGAATTAGTTTTTCCTGAAAAAAAGTTTTTCAACCATTTATATGATCACAGGGAATGGCTTAATGGTAACATGACTTGGCCAGTTGAATTTGATGCCAAATGACTCGACCAAACCCTTACCATTTTATTTTTTTAATGAATAAATGTAACCTAATGTCTTAAGTATTTGAAGTGTTCAGGATGGTGGTTTTACCGCAATTTAGATGTTCATGTAAGAAGATGAC